ATGATGATGATGGTGATGATGATGATAATGATGATAATGAAGATGATTATGATGATGATGATCATGATGGTAATGATGATGATGATGATGATGATGATGATGATGATGATGCTGATGATGATGATGATGATGATGCTGGTAATGATGGTGATGATGATGATGGTGATGATGATGATGACGATGATGATGATGATAATGATGATGATGGTAATGATGATGATGATGATGATGGTGATGATGATGATAATGATGATAATGAAGATGATTATGATGATGATGATCATGATGGTAATGATGATGATGATGATGATGATGATGATGATGATGATGGTGATGGTGATGGTGATGGTGATGGTGATGGTGATGGTGATGATGATGATGATGATGATGATGATGATGATGATGATGGTGAGGAGGAGGAGGATGGTGAGGAGGAGGAGGAGGATGACGATGACGATGATGATCATGATGACGATGACGACGCATCGTCATCGTCATCGTCATCGTCGTCGTCACCGCTATCATCGAGGATCCTGCTTTTCCATTCTCCGTGAGCCTCCGCACGGAGCTCGCGAGTCTGTGCGCGGACAGGCCGCGCGGGCACGGCCTGAACCCTGACGGACGACCGCGGAAGGAGCTCCGGCTCGATGGATTGCTCCTCGCCTCTGATCGTCTCCGTGTAAGACTAAAACATGGCTAGGATCGGGATAAATCGCTCCAGAGCGTTCCGGAGCGCTCTCAGAGCGTTCCGGAACGCTCTGGAGCGGCCGCGGCGCCCAATACATCCTCCAAACCCGCCGATTCTCAGAGATTTCGAGTTATCCCGATCCGATTTTGTCCCGATCTTCGCGTCGTTTTAAAGACAAAGCCAGGACGAGGATAAAATCGGGTGAGGATAAATCGAATCTCTGCGAGATGGCGGCTCTGGAAAACGTATCCAGCGCCGCGGCCTTCTCAGAGCGTTCCGGAACGCTCTGAGAGCGTTCCAGAACGCTCTGGAGCGGATGGATCCTCGTCCTAGCCCCGTCCAACGTCTCACTGTAAGGCTCAGAAGTCGACGCCAGCACCAATGTCGTCGGCTGCCTCCGCCGAGGGAAGATGATCCTGGCCTCGGCGATAGTGATAATGATCGGGCTTCTGAGGCGGCCGGAAGAGTGCCACCCATACCAAGTTCGAGGATCGTCTTCACCCAGCGGCAGCCCCCCCCCTGGCTTGATGCTGGTACCAGTCTGTAGGCCTCCATGTCCTCTCTCTCTTCCTCGCCCCCGTCCTTGTCCAGCGTCGCCCTACCCTTCTGATCCCCCCCGGTCTGCATCACCCAAGCAGCTCAAGCATCCACGTCGTTCATTTCTAATCGTGCTCACTTCTAATCGTGCTAATTTCTCACTGTACCTGGCCCCCCAGGTGGCCGGGAAGAGGCCCAGGACAGAACCATTGGAAAGGCAAGGATCCTGGACCCCCCAAAAAATCAAAGAGCTTTCGAATAATCAGAACTGAGCAACAGGCCTCGGAACAAAAATAGCGAACACTCATGCCACATTCATCTGTGAACGCCTCCCACTCCCCCCAACGTTCAAAGTTGGCGGTGGGTCTGATGAGTTGCACCTCGACCGCAGTCTCCCCCGCGCGTGCCAACCTTGAGTTTGGGGGGCAGGGGGGGTGTTCGCTAATTGTTTCCGTCTACCGAATGTGCACCCCTCTGACCCCCCCCCCCTGCCTGCACCACCCGAGCACTCCTCCTTGCCCTGTGCGCGTCGGCCCCCCTGCAGGGGCGACGCGCGCCCCCTCGGAAAAATCTTGCCGCACGTGCTCGGCAGCGGGCGCCCTCTGGCCACGGCGCCAAGGGCAACGACGTACAGGTGTCGGAAACAATGAAGCAACACGCATGCAGAACGTATGGTTTGAGCCTCCCCCCCCTCCCCCCAAATGCGATGTTGGTTTCGGATCTTCCGATTTGGGGCCTCCGAGCGGGCGGGCGCAAACCTGTCAACTTTGAACTGTGGGGGAGGGGGGGAGTGTTGCTTAATTGTTCCCTACCTAGGCTCTGCCTAGAAGGGTTCTTACTCTCTGGGCTTAAAGGGGCCGGGCAGTGGAAAGCGCCCCGGGCGGTTCCCCCAGTATCCGCCCCGCGGTTCCCCCAGTTGCGCCCCCAGGGTTCACCCAGCTTAGCTTAGCTAAACATAGCTTTAGCTTAGCTTTAGCTTAGCTTTAGCTTAGCTGCAGCTTAGCTTTAGCTTAGCTTTAGCTTAGCTTTAGCTTAGCTTTAGCTTAGCTTTAGCTTAGCTTTAGCTCAGCTTTACTGTTACTACAAATGCTGCTTTCCTAGGGGCTCCAACTCCAAGGTAGGGTCGCACTGGGATAATTTTCCTCTACCGTATACTTCGAGTCGTGTGTGCTGCACGTTCGGCTCGGACGTGCGCCTCCAAGGGGGGGGCGCACGCTGCGAGCCCAGAGCAGCTCACGAGAGCTCTGGGTCCTGCCCACGGTGCCCAAAACAGCGCGGCCAATCCCGCGCACAGCGGCATCTCCCTCACAATTGAGGGATGAAAACACGACCCTACCCTGGGTTACAAGTGCGTGGTCTGTAAGCCTCCTGGGAGCCCCCAGAGCCTAGAGCCGCCAGGACGCGGCATATCACGCAGGGTTTACCCTGTCAGCCCAGAGGAGTTTCAGCGCACAGCGCCTCGTAAACCAGGGTAGGGGCGTTTTTTATGCCCTTGACACAAGGCGCTGTTCGGTACTATTGGTCGCTAGTCGGCGCTAGTCCAGCGCTGCCCGACACTACTGGGCACCGTCGGGCGCTATCTGGCGCGACTGACCGCTCTTGGGCGCTGTTCACCGATATACCTTCAACCTAAGACGAGCGGAAGCTTCCGAAATCTACGACCCAACTGCCACTCCATCGCCCCCCTGCTCGGGGACGCACTGACCTGGGTCCATGCAAACCCGGGTCAGTCAGGCCTTGCAGGATCCTGCACGATCCTGCACGCAAGCCCGGGTCGGGCCGGGCGAAAGGGGTGGATAGCAAAGGGGGGGTTTGAGAATCAGCTCACGTAGCTGATTTTCCCGGCGCCTCCCGGCGCCGGAGGCGGCTATGTATCGAGGAATGGGCCCCTCGGTGGGGCCGAAACCAGCTGCATGCGGCAGATTTCGTACCCCCCCCTTTCCCAATCCCCCCCTTTCGCCCGGCCCGACCGCGTCAGCGCACCCCTGGCTCTGGAGGATCCTGCAAGATCCGGCGCTCTGGCTGGACCCTCGTTTGCACTGGCCCCCGTTCGGGAGCGGCCAAGAGGGGGGTGTCCAAGAGGGGGGGGTGCAAATCATGACCGGCGGCATGTGCGCGGCCCAGCGGGGGGGCCAGGGACGTGATGAAACAAGAAGAGGCGCCATGAAATCTGGGGAAATATCACGGCCCACGCCATGGATATCCCCCCCCTAGTCATCACCCCCCTCTTTTCCGCCCCCGACCCGTGTCCCAGGCCCCGCCCGCGGCCTCGCCGGACACGCGCCGCCCCGTGGTGGGCGCGAGGCTCTTCGCGGCGAGCAGCACGGCCGGGGCGCCCACGACCGTGCTCTCCATGATGCTCACCTGCCGAGTCCGAGCGAGAAGCGATTACTCCAGATTTCGTAATAAAAGGGGGGGGGTCTGGACCCTCCAAGACAAGCCATTTCAGACCTCCCCCGTGGGAGAACCCTCCAAAACATCGTCCCCAGACCCCCCAGGCCCTCCAAGATAGCCTGGAAGAGACCCCCCCCCCGAAATGAGACCCCCTCCCTTTATTACGAAATCTGGAGTAGCAATTAGATCGACTCGACGGGTCGCTCGTGAGCCGCACGGTGTGCAATGGCGAGAGCACGCCCCAAAGTTTGGCCTGACCGCAAGCGCCGGGGCCCCAGACAAGAATTGGCAACTTCCGTGTAGAACGAGGCACGGCTGGCTTGTGACATTGCGCACGAATGCTGGACTGATTATTACGCCTGCGCGTCCGCAAGGGATGCAAGGCCGCAGTCGGCCAGCAAACCCTTAGGAGCGGACCAAGTCAGGCGGCATAAAGCATTTGTTTGGGTGACCCAAAAGGGGGTCCAGCTGAAAGGGGGTGGTGCACTAGATTTGGGGCAATTTTATTGCAAATGTATGGCGCTTGAGAATTGTGCTGCGTTGGATTGCAAGCAATGTATTGCGCATGAAAGTGCAGCAACACATTTGCGCCCCGGAATGTATTTCACGCCCCAGATGTAGTGCAACCCCACAGATCAATTACACAAAAACTATTGCACCACCCCCTTGTCGCTGGACCCCCTTTTGGGTCCAGCCGAACTTGGGATAGGGGGTCTGTTCAGCAAGTATAACAAGACGAGCCGCCCAGGTTGATCATGCCCGATGCAGAGGCGGGGGCCTCAGTCAGGCTACGCCCTCATTGTGTTCTTAGGGTCAGGGGTCCTTCATCCTCGATGGAGAGGGCCCCCCCCCCCCGCACGCGTCGCTTCCCCGCGGTCCTCCGGCCTCGGGATGGATTCCAGCAGCTGCGCCTCGCCGAGGGCGTGCCGGGGGTGCCCCGGATCGCCCGGAGCGGCCGCCGGGGAGCCGAGTGCTGGCTCGAAGACCACAGGGGGCAGCGCCGGGCCCCGAGGTGCGGACGCTGCACACGGTTCACCCCGGGCGTCCTCGCCTCGGGGCCTCGGGCCCCGGGGTCCTCACAGAGATCGACGCGGAGGGAAACACATGCCGCAGAAAGATACGGCCTGGGGCGCCGGAAAGATCCGGCCTGGGGCGCCGGTCGTGAGTCGTGAAGACTCACGACCCCAGAGGCCCAACATTTCAGAGATTTGGAAGCCGCGTTGTTTTCCAACTTTTTTTCTGAAGTTCTCTGTTTTTCAAGTTTATACTACTGCACCATGGTGTTCCAGTACTGGAGCCCCAGGCCGGATCTTTCTGCGGACCAGACTCCTATGCGGATTCCTGCGCGGACACATGCGCGGATCCCAGTGCGCACGCCAGCAGTGCCCGGAGCGCACTGGGGGGGGCGTTGCACGTCATAGGGCTCCTCCTCCTTCTCCTCCTCCTCCTCCTCCTCCTCCTCCTCGCCTCCTCCTCCTCCTCCTCCTCCTCCTCCACCTCCTCCTCCCCACTCCCTCCTCCTCCTCCACTCCTCCTCCTCCTCCTCCACTCCTCCTCCTCCTCCTCCTCCCTTCCTCCTCTCTCGCTCCTCCCTTCCCTCCTCCTCCTCCTCCTCCTCCTCCTCCTCCTCCTCCTCCTCCTCCTTCTCCTCCTGCTCCGCAGGCTCGGCATCGGGAGCCCAGCTCGAAGACCACAGGGGGCAGCGCCGGGCCTCGAGGTGCGGACGCTGCACGCTGCTCACCCCGGGCGTCCTCGCCTCGGGGCCTCGGGCCCCGGGGCCCTCACAGAGATCGACGCGGAGGGACACATGTGCCGCAGAAAGCTCCGGCCCGGGGCGCCGGTCGTGGGTCTTGAAGACTCACGGCCCCAGAGGCCCAACATTTCAGAAATTTGGAAGCCGCGTTTTTTCCAACTTTTGTCTGAAGTTCTCTGTTTTTCAAGTTTATACTACTGCACCATGGTGTTCCAGTACTGGAGCCCCAGGCCGGATCTTTCTGCGGACCAGACTCCTATGCGGATTCCTGCGCGGACATATGCGCGGATCCCAGTGCGCACGCCGGCAGTGCCCGGAGCGCACTGGGGGGGGGGGCGTTGCACCTCATAGGGCTCCTCCTCCTTCTCCTCCTCCTCCTCCTCCTCCTCCTCCTCCTCCTCCTCCTCTCCTCCTCCTCCTCCTCCTCCTCCTCCTCCTCCTCCTCCTCCTCCTCCTCCTCCTCCTCCTCCTCCTCCTCCTCCTCCTCCCCTCCTCCTCCTCCCCACCTCCTCCTTCCTCCTCCTCCCATCCTCCTCCGCCTCCTCCTCCTCCTCCTCCTCCTCCTCCTCCTCCTCCTCCACCTCCTCCCCGCCTCCTCCTCCTCCTCCTCCTCCTCCTCCTCCTCCTCCTCCTCCTCCTCCTCCTCCTCCTCCTCCCGTGTCACTCTTACGTGTGGTCGATGGATGCAGCACGCGCGACCTCGGCGCAGTGGAGACATCCCCCGAGGACGCATTCCGTCGATCTGTATCTCGGGCCCTTGAGACCTCCGAAGCTGTCGACACGAGGGGTGGCCTGGGAGAAGTTCAGCAACGTGCGCATGGCCGCAAGCTGCATCCACCACTGCGCCGAAGCTCCGAACATCTCAGCGAATACGGTCCCCCTTCGAGAACCCATGCTGCAAGAGCATGGCCGGTCTGCTTGCCCAAGCAAGGGCGCTGATACTTATAGCGGCGGCCAGTTTGCTGCAGGAGACTGCAAGCCAACGAGCGAGGTATGTTAGGCATGCAGAGTCGGTGCATGGGCAGGCTGTGAGGCACTGCGGCAAGCAGGTAACCACTCCAGGCTGTGCAAATTCCCAGCCAATTCGAGCACGCTCAATGCTCGAAATTAGAAGACTGGTGACTGGTATCTTCTCCACTTGCAGACCTCTGCATCGCCCTGCCATTTTGAGCTTGAGGGCCAGGCGCGGGCCCAGGCGGCCGCCATGCTTATTCGCCATATCCTAAGTATGTGGTCGTTGGTGCAAGGGCCACGCCTCAACCTCCTCACCTCCTCCCTCCAGCCTCCTCCCTCAAATACACTCGCTCATACTCTGACTCGCTCTCGCTCAGACTCACTCATGCTCAGACTCATTCATATGCAGACACGCTCACATTCCCATTCGATCGGTGAAGTTGTAGACTAAACTGGGATCCAATCGTAGCCAGACTCACTCATACGCATAATTACACAACCTCAAACCCCTCGAGCTGACTCATACTCAGGTTCAGTCTCGTTCAGACTCACCCAGATTCACTCTCAGTCATACTACGAGTCGCTCTCCTTCTAAACACACTATAACACACTCACTTGACCTGTGTTTGCTCCCCGTGTCCTATGTACCGTCTTCCTGTTCCCCATGCCCCAAGTACGGGGCTCCTGTATCCCACATCCAAGTTCGGAGCTCTGGTTATCGGTGTCAGGCCTCCGCCTGCCAATCCTGCCCGCCTCCCCTGTCTCACACCATCCCTCTCTCCGACGCCTCTGATCACCTGCCGTGGCAGACAGGCCAAGATCACTCAAATCAGCATTGCACGACGAAGCTGAATGTGAATCATTGTGCTTGGGCACGCTTGGCCAGAGATTAGCCTGGGCACGAACCGGATTGCGCGCCTCCCTCTCGCACGTATGCCCATACTACCTCCCAGTCAGACTCGCGCACAAGAACCACCAGGTACTACGCGGGCCCGATCGCGCCCAGATTGACGGGACCTCTCAGGCAACACATGTTTTGTAGGGGTGAACGGGTCTTCGTTTCAAAGCCACATGATGACCGCGCTGTACCAAGCATCGCTCCTGGAACTTCACGGACCTCTTCGTGCCGCAAAAGTCTGGCCCTCGCAGGCACACCGCCCGCTTTGAGGGGGTACCCTGATCGCTTCTCCAAGCCCTCCCAGGGCGACCGAAGCTGTCAAAACAGCAGGATTCTATCGCCTTTCCAAGGCATGGGCAGTCGGAGGGCTCCGACGTCGCACGAGGGCACGGCGTGCGACGCATCGACGGCGCAGGCTGTCTCCGTTTCACAGCTGGCGGAACTTTCGAAGCGGCAGAGGTCGCCGTCATGCTTGTCCACATGCCACCCCATCTGCACCCCCAGGCCCATGATGGCATGGACCTGTGCCTTCTGATGCCCCCCACCCCCCAGGGCGAGCACTCGCCTTCCCGAGCTTCATGGAGTCGCTGTACACTAGCCAGTCGTCCGCAGGTGTACCTTTCCGATCCTCCTCCCCCCTCGTGGCCAATCTGCGACTAGCATGTTGCCCCGCCTTTACCCTTTCCGTGGTGCTTCTCTCGTTCACCCGTTCATGTGCGCTGTCATCGTCGAATTTGTTTGCGGTTCACTCGCAGATGCGGTGCCAAGTCGGAATATGTTTTGGCGGTGGTGGTGCGTAGTCACGCATCCTTCCACATGCGTTTGGTGGCCGCTGAGGGCCCCGTGGCGGCTCGGTTTTGGTGGCTGCTGTGGCTGTTCCTGCCAATATGACGTGGTCGACGCATCTGGTAGAGAAGGACTAACGGCGAGTGCTCCTCGGAAGCCATGAGGAATGAGGGGGGCACAGTTGAGCAAGATAGGTTGCCAAAACTGCAGGGCGCCTTACAAGAGGTGTGGTTTGGTCATGGACTTGCTATGTATCGTACCGTTGGTATACACCAGCGCTGATCATAGTACATTATACGTCTCCCCTCCCCGTATTCTTTCCCCTCTTTCTTCCCCCGCCCACGTCAGATCGCGTTTCCCCAGGACGTCCCCCTCGTGGTGGAACTATCGTCGGGACGCTCCTCCTTGAAACCTGACAGCGAAATGACATCCGGCCACGGATCCCTAAACACACATACACACACACGCGCACACCCGGAAGCGCTGTCCCGATGAGGAGCAGGATCGCTGATACTCCGGACGCGTGTTGGCGCCAGCGTGTGCTGGTCCACCGAGGCCCCTCCATACGCTGCAGGCGGCACAACGAGGGCCAACACAGGCTCTTGCCGTCGCTCGGACGTCCATTTCCCGTGTATTTTTCGATTTCGTGCGTGTTTTTTTGCTCGATGGTCCAGGATGGTCCTCGATGGTTCTCGCCGAGAGAAAATGCACACGTCCGAGCGATGCCAAAGGCTGCACGCGATCGGCGGAGCCGGACTGGGCAAACAAACGTTGGGGCCGGCACGCGTCCCGAGGATCATCGACAGGAGGACGGGGGGGAGCAGGAGGAGGCGGGAGGGGGAGGGGTGGCCTCGCGGCCATCTCGCCTAGCCCTGGCACAGGCACAGCTGGCTCGCGAGCAACCCACCGCGGCTACGGGCGAGCCGCCGGACCCCGTACAACCACGACTTCGGGTGGTGGCCATGCCCACGCGCTCCAATTTTCCGGTGACGTCGCCCGATCCGCCACCGCGCTTGCAAGACCCAACTAGAAAACCACCGCCCGCGTTTGCTTCCCAGCGCCTTTTACAGCCAACGAGACTCCAAACGCTGCAAGGTGTCCCCGAGAAGCTCCAAACATCTCTTGATAGAGCATCCAGGCACCCAGTCGGCTCTCCAGCGGAGCCCGAAGAAGCAACCAACAAATTACACCGGGTTCGATGCGCCCGAAGCTTTCTTAGCTTTAGCACGTGTCGGGGACACTTCAGAGATCCCCGCAAATCTCCGAGACCGTGAGAGAGAGAGGGAGAGAGAGAAAGAGAATTCAGGATGCAATGAGCACCTTGGCTGGAATCATAACCAGAATCGACTATGGAATCGGGAAAACCGGGCCGGAATCGGAATCGTGATCCCAAGATCAAACCCAAGTCGGAGCCGGTATCGGGCAGTGGCCTCGGACCGGAGCCAGAATCGGGAGGCCGATATAAACATCGGATCGGATCGACACTGGGCCAGCCGTGTGCTTGCTGTTGTCCTGCCTCACCCTTGCCCAGCTGCGGAGCGTATGACTAAGCTAAGCAATCACAAATGCTAAAACGACGCGAAAATCGGGACAAAATCGGATCGGGATAACTCGAAATCTCTGAGAATCGGCGGGTTTGGAGGATGTATTGGGCGCCGCGGCCGCTCCAGAGCGTTCCAGAACGCCCTGAGAGCGCTCTGGAACGCTCTGAAGCGATTTATCCCGATCCTAGCCCTGTTTTAAATGCCCCGCACGCTTCGCTTAATCCGCACGTGTGCCGCTCGACGTCGTCTCCATGCTTCTGCAGGGCCCTCCCAAAATCGAAAGCTGCTGTTCTCCCGAAGTGGCCTGTGCGATACGGCGGCGACCCTGCAGCTCTGGAGCCGCCACCGCGCCGCCGGCCACGGACTAGGCGTGTCGCGTGCCCCCAATCCTCTAAGCCTCAATCCTCACTCCTCACTCCTCCTCCTCCTCCTCCTCCTCCTCCTCC